AAAAATGTGATATACAGAGCGGAATACGTATACAAAGGTATTAACAGAATACAAAACAGAAGATAGTGCATTAAAGATTTATGTACAATGGATATATACACAGAATACCCACACAGAATATCCACACAGGTGACAGGTGACGGAGGACGGGGACGCCTGGCGTCTAACAGAGGTAACAGGCATATGTCCCACACCCGCGCCCCTATCCAGACGCAACAACTACACATTACACATTAATATGATACATAATTAAGCACACACATTTGAAATACATGACAAATAAATATACATAGAGAAAACACAGTTCAACACAAAATATACAAAACATACAAAACATAACAGTACAATGATACAAAGTACACACAATACGACATTAAACAGCATAAAACATATATAAACATTACGTTAAACACACACATTGCATTAAACACAAAACATATAAGGTGCACAGTTATAGTGGCAGTTCAGTATAGTTTCAGGGAAAGTACTTTACAGTGGCAGTACTAGGCACATTGCGCAGAATGTACGCAATACCCACAAGTGAAACACTAGCGGTATACAGCATGCAGTATGTGTTGTTGCACAGTTTGTTAAGGCAGAATGCAGTCACTGAGACCATTATGAATAGCACTGTTTTATAATGGGAGGCAAAGGTCTTGGCCGTAGGCCTTAATGGTGTTAACGATTTTGCACACTGTGTTGATTGCCGCTTTATTTTTAAGGATAAACTTGTGGAAGGCAGGTATGTTCGTGGGTTCCGGGAAATGGTACTGTTCTGTGAGTGGGCACCGGAAGATATAGTGATCGGGTGTCCCCTCTTCCCCGCATACACAGCGATCCGTATTAGAAATAGTGCGTCTGTTGAAGTAGTCCGGGAAGGGACCGTGCCCAGTTACAAAGTTAGTAAGTGGAGCGTTTGCTATGAGTCTCTCCGTTGTCACCATCGGTAGAAAAGCCATACACTCTTCTTCCTGTGTTTCCATGTTCCCATACTCTTTGCCACCACTGGACTGCTGCGCCTTTCAGCAGTCTTTTAAGATGGGAAGGTGGCGCCGGAACAGCGATGGGACGTGCGTTGATGTTTGAGGCTGCCTCTTTGGCGAGCACGTCCGCTGCCTCATTACCTGCATTGCCTTCGTGAGCTTTCACCCACGTCATGTCCACGTGTACCTGTGGGTTATCTTTTAAGAGTTTTTGAAGGCGGATGATCAACGGGGGGAAACATGGTTGTGTTTGCTTAGGGCCAGCAAGGCAGACATACTATCCGTATAGAGATAAGCTTTTGAGATTTTTCGGCTTATTAGATATTCAACAGCAGCTGTAATTGCTATCACTTCTGCCTGAAAGACGCTATTGCTGTCACCTAGGTGGCCTTTCCAATGATGTAATTCTTGGCTTTGCCAACAGTGCAGGAAAGCACTGCCAACGCCTTCAGCATGTTTAGAACCATCAGTGTAAAGTGTATGGTTGCTGATGTGCTGTATTTCCTTGTTGGGCTGTTGCATGATGTGGGTGTGGACCCCTAGTCCTTTATGCGCTGGATGTGTGTGCAGCGGTGTCTTGGGGTGCTCATAAAGTGCTGGACTGTAGAGAGTACCTGCGAAGGAGGCGTCTTTCCTCAAGTGAAGGACTCTCGTATATGTCGCCTCTAGCTCGGCCTGGATGTGTAGAGGGACTATACCTGCTAGAGTAAGGGCGGAGCTCGTGGCTGTTGTGCAGTATGCCCTGCAGATGCTTATGACAAAAGGGCGTTGGAGTGATGTTAACTGCTTGATTTTCCTCGTTGTCATCGGTTGAGCCCAGATTGCAGCTGCGTACAGCGCAATCTTTTCCACCACCGTGCTATAAAGCACTTTTTGAATGTGGGGATTTAGTCCCCAATTCCTTCCTTGAAATTTCCGTGTCATTCTGGCTATAGCGGAGGTTTTTGCTCTCTGTTGCTGCAAATGTGGCACCCATGTTAAGCCAGAGTCCCAGACCACTCCTAGATACTTCTGTGTATCCATGAATTTAATGTTGCGGCCAAGTAATCGGATACAGGGACGACGTACAGGCCTCGTGCCCGGTCTTGGGATGAGGAGTGCAGAAGACTTGGTGATAGAAATCCTCAGCTTAAGGTCTTCGCATAGGCTTGCGAACTTGGCGCACGCTTCGCTGCCATTGGCTTCAATTTCGTCTCGTGTGCGACCTTTAACAAGGAGAGCCGCGTCATCAGCATATGCAATGATAGTTGTGTGATCAGGCCACGTCGCTTCGAGGATTTTGTTAAATGTCAGGTTCCAGAGCAAGGGCCCTGCACAGGACCCTTGTGGGCAGCCTCTGACTTGGGTCTTAGTAACAATGCCATTATTGTTTGCCATAAGTAATTGCCTATCTGTGAGATAACTCTCAAAGACTTGGTAGATGTTCTCCGGGCATTGCGCCTCTCTGAGGGCCTGCTTGATGGCGGGCCACCAAAGGGTGTCGAAAGCGCTCTGGAGGTCTATTGAGATGAATGCAGTCTGAAGATTCTGTGAGCGATTAAGCTGGACTTCATCATATATTCGTTGAAGGGCATGTGTGGTTGAGCAACCTGAACGGAAGCCATATTGCTTGGGACTGAGGAAGTTGTTTTTGTGAATATGATACTTCAGCCTGTTAACTATGATCTTTTCATAGATCTTACCCAACGCGCTGAAAGGAGACAGATCGGACGAAAGGAGCAGGGGTCTATTGGGTTCTTATCTTTTTTGAGAAAAAGTACCACGTGTCCCTTCTTGAAAGCTTGTGGAAATACTCTGTGGTGCAGGAGTTTATTGAAGTAGAGGCGAAAGAAGGTGGGCCGTGCTCGGAAGGCGACCTTTAAGATTGCATAATCAAGTCCGTCCGGACCCGGTGCCTTCTTCAGTGGTAGATGGCGGAAGATGTGAGTGATTTCCTGCATTGTAATGGGGACATCTTCTGGCGTTCTTGGGATCTCTGTGGAGTTTCTCAAAAGTCGCTGGGCCGTCGTGTCATCCTGTTCTGGATCCGCTGGGAAGATTGCATCAAGCAGTGCTGTGGCCGTGGACCCTGCTAAGTCAATTGTTTGTGGTAGATTCCCTGGCTGCACTGGCACTTGTGCCGGCTGGAAGATTTTCTGCGTGGCCAGTTTATGCAGGATTCCGTAAGGATTGCTATTGCTGGTACAAAAATTGCGCCAGCTGTTGATTTTGGCTTCTAGAATTGCTTTTTTATAAGTAGCCCGTGCTTGTCGGAATGCAGTTAGCAACCTTTCCGTTTCTGTGCCGTCTACAGCCGTTCGGAGACGGCGACGTAATGCTCTGCACCTTTGGCGCATTTGTCTCAGCTGCCTAGTCCACCACGTAATGCCTTGCAGTTTCTTGGCAGTCCTGATTGGTAGAATTCGCTCGCATGTGTCCTTGAGAGTGGTGAGAAGATTATCTGTGTAGATATTCATATCATACTGGTCATTATGCGTATTAAGCTCCATCTCTTCTCTTCTGAGAGTTTCGCTGAGAATGCGATGCAGATGCCTAATCTTGCCACCCGGAAGCTTAAACCTTTTTAAAATGCTAATGCTGGTGTCTACTTGAATGAGGAAATGGATGTACTTATGATCGGAATTGCTTTCATCATCCATGACAGTCCAAGAGTAAATATTGTTGACAATGTCCGATGTTGAAAGGTTGAAAGGGTCAAGTCGGGCCAGCCTTTATGATACGAGTTGTCAAATGTCGGCTGTGCACCGGGGCTGTTATGCAAATGCAGGTTATTGCTCGCCATGAAGTTTTCCATTTCGTGGCCCTTAGGAGTCGTGTCACGGTAGCCCCAAATGACGTTGTGGGCGTTGAAGTCGCCTCCAATGATGTGTGGTACCGTAGGACATTTCAGTCTAACGTGATTGTATGCTGTAGTTGCGTCAGTGAGGTCATCGCTGGGGGAGGAATAAACGGAGCTTAGTATGAACTGTTGATTGTTAAAGATAACTAGTACGGAGACGAAATCTCGTTCCATTGAAACCAGGAAAGGTGTCCAGGTAGGTAGGGTTACAGCAGGCAATGGCTGCTCTGGGTGCCTGCTCTGCTGTGGATTTCCTTTGGAAGATCTTCCATGCCAGGGGAAAACTTGCCACCTGGCCTTCACGGCAGTATGGTTCCTGGATTAGAAGAAAGTCTAAATTATGATGTATTGCATGTTGTATGGCTTGGGTTGAGGCAGCTTCTGCTCTCTGCAAATTAATTTGAGCGCATCGTATGGGTGTCTGGTGCTGGGTGGTTTCCAATTTTGTTTCTGGTCGATCTTCAGTGGGTGTATTTTTCGTTTTGTGTGGCGTCCATGCTGGTGCGGAGGTACTTGGTCGTTGTGCGTTATTCGTAGATTGTGCTTCGTCGGATTCGCTCAACATACCGTGCATAGGTTGGGCATCGGATGTCGTATGCTGGATGGTTGCAGGGCATTGTACTATGTGTTCGGAAATTTGTATCTGAAGAAAATTAGGCAGTAAAATGTCGTAAGCTTTAGTTCTTAATGCTAAAAATCATTCCAAGTTCAAAATATCTTTAAAATATTATCATACTATCTTTAGGCCCACCAGCGGCCAAACGATAAAGTCGCTGAACACTGGTAGTTCGGTCTGAGGTTCGAATCCCGAGAACGGGCCGGCTGCATGGGCGTTTTCGTGGTTTTCTCTATGTGTAACGTGTATAAGAACCAATTTCCATTAGAAAGTTTTCCACAAATGCAGTCCTCCCCTTAGGCAGATAGCCCTCTAAGCTTTGCTATAATCACATAAACCAAATCATATTATCTTAAAAATATATTTTAGGTAAGAAACGCATTTTAAAGGACTGATGTTCTTTGTAAAGAAAGTTCCTTAAAAAATAAAGAATAAAGAAATTCTTCAAGTTGTCTATTCTTAACTATCTGATCTTGCTTTATATTGAATACATAGATTACAGTGTAAATTTTATAAATGGAATTAAACATCGTTAAGGCGGAGTTTTCCCGCGGATACTCACTGATAATGTTCATCTCTTTAACAGCCTGAACACAACTGTACGTCGGCGAATCTGTAGAGACTTGGCATTTATATGTTCCTGCGGAATCCAAGGCAACGTTACGCAAGAAGACGACATTGCTGCCAGATTTAGAAAGCTGGAAAAGAAAAAGAAATATTTACATAGAAAAATATCTTTTAGTGACTGACAAAATAACAAGCGATGGAATGGGCTCATTAAACACAAAATAATAACAAAGGACGCTTATTTAAATTAATCTTTCAAATTTAAAATTTTGCAGACGATAAATATAGCGATACTGCTTTTATTCATTTTTGTGAAATCATTGGATAAAGACTGAAGTCAGGGATTAGCCTTTGCTAAATACTCGTACTTAAGAAAATTGTATAATGCTGAAATTATTCGGTATTAATGTGAATTGGATAATTTGGCAATTATAATAAGCCATCAATAGTTAGCACAGAGCGTTCGACCATAAACAAGTCGTTGATCTGTTCCTAATGCTTTTGTGAACAAACAGAGCAGTGAGGTTCGAATTAATTCCTAGAAATTAACAGACGCCCAATGCTTAGAAACTGTGTGTGCTTATAATTCATTTTGTCGACGTGGTTAATGATTGAAATATACCCAGAGACCATTAGCAAGGTTCTGTTCAATAAAAATCGTCCGCAACAAATATTAGCATCTTTGTGTTCGTAGCTCTGCTTTAATACAAGGAATTATTTAAAGAATATATAGGTGTGAAAATATTATATCAACATTCAGTGAATATTAAACAACTTATATTAAGCAACAGAAATCAGGCAAGCGTGAGTCTCACATTATAATGATGCCTTTTTGCTTATTGCTAGTTTCTTTAGCATTTGTTTCAGCGAGAAATTCGAGAACGTGCCAATAAAAGCAAAGCTTCGCCAATTGGTGGACACTGGCGGAGTAGCGAGCAAAAACTTCGCAAAAAGAATAGGGAATGAGTGGAGGACTTTCGAAGGACATGTGTGGATGGTGAGTTTATCATATTTGTTCTGCCGGTATTTTAATATATGAAAATTATGTATGCTTTTGCGTGTGTTTGTGTGTGATAAATAGAAAGGCTCTCGTGAAGCCAATAATCTTCTTTGAGTTCCATGGGCTGTTTGATTTTAATTTACGGCCTCTTCTGGTTTCTGCAATGTATAGTGAGAAAGTCACCAACATTAAAGCATTCAAAGCATCATGTGGGCTTAAAGAATCGGCCTTCAAATTATTAGTGAGTATTCATCAAATTCATACCGATGTTTTATCATCTGACTCGCAAGCTTTGATTTTTAATCTCTGGATAGCAAGATCCGTCAGCGGTGACAAAGCTTGCGATGACGGAGGTTGCAGCAAACAATAGTAACACCTTGGCAAGAGAACAGCACAGTGGGCTACAGGAAGGATATCTTAATCTGGATAGATTGAGTAAGAGACCTTTACCTACTAACTCGGTCTAAATAATAAGTGGCCCATGATTTTATACCTACCTAATCTAACATTTAAATCTAAAGGATTGAGGGATTTAATTTGCAATCCCGAGCAAGAAGTATTTGTCAGACGATTATTTTGCCGTCTGTTTAATATTCAGTGACGAAGCGATCTTTCATTTGTACGGAATGCTAAATAGTATATCGCAGTATTTTGATATCGAACGTAGAATATTGTCATGCGCTTATTAACATAAAAGAAATTTACTATACTAAACCTTTTTTGCACCATTTCATACGCAAATGCGTACAGCCGCTTTTTTTTTCTTAAGAACACTGTGACGGGTGCATCGTACCTTGATATACTGTAGTTGCTACTATTTCCTAAAATGAAAGCCGTTTTAGAAATTTTATACGCCAGTGAGATGGGATTCTATCTTGTTGAGATGTATCGCTACCTAAATAACGAGCTGCCATGGCACTGAATTGGTATACATGTTAAAAATGGTTTAGTGTTGTTTAGAACGAATCTCCTTTGGAGTTATGTTAAAGCAGTGGTGCCACACATTTTTTGCTCCATCCACTCCCTTTCACCATTGATAGAATACACCTCTTTTCCAAAACTTTAAAAATGAGCATATTATTTAGATTATTTTTAACATGTTTTATAAATTAAACAACAAAAAGTATAAAAAATGTTGTTAAATAACAAAACTTGAATAAAAATAGTTTTTTTTTACATTCATAAACTTAAAACTTTTAACGGTTAAATAAAAATCTGACCGCATTACTCTTAGTGGGAGAATTTAATTCTATAATAAAGAATTTCATAAGGTCTTCCTATTCCGAAAGGAATATGTACTTTTTTATATTTTAGAATATTTAGTGTAAATTTCACGAATAAGCACTATATAAAGTTTTTTCAAAATCTTTTCTAATTAATTGGTAACCTTAATTACAATCTAGCCTTTGAAAGTTAATTCAATCTCAGATACAATTTAAACAAACGTACGGAATACAGTAAAAATATAAAACCAAAGTTTATTTCTTACAGTTCTTGACTTCAATCAAAACGGGTTCTATATGTGCTTGCTTCGATATAAATCAAAGAACTATAGACTTAACAGAAAATCTAAGTTTATTACATTACAGGAAAATGTTTCTGAAAGATTCTTTCTAATATCCTGAAACTGAAAGAATCTTAAATGCACTTTTCACAACAGTGTCTGAATTCAACCTTCCTATAAGTATTAATTCAGTGTGACACGTATCATCAGTGTCAGCATAAAAATATGGATAGATAATTCAATAAACCAACAATAAGATAATTATATTTTCATATTCTTAAACAGTTTGTTCATTAATTTTTAACTTTATAATACTAGATGCTTACTGATAATAGCAAAGAAAGAGAGCTTTAGAAGAGAGGTCTTCGTGGTACACCTTATTAAAGAAACTGAATAGTATTCACAATATACGTGTAATAAAAAATCCGGAAGCCCTCACGCCGCTAGTCAATTCATCAATATTCAAGCTTGAGATAAACTGCTGTTGGTCAGCAGACTTATCTACTTGGTTACAAGTAGCTCATATTTCTGGAATGATTGAATGATATTAAAATGCGAAATTGATAGGAAGAAGAAAGAAAACCTAAAATCAGGTAAAAACGTAATAAAATTCTCCCCAATTTTAATTTGCAGAATTAATCTTTCAGAAATTATAATTAGTTATGAAAACATCCTAGCATTTCTTTTCATCTGTAATTTCACTTATAACAGTTCACTCTATAAAATATTTTACATGTAAAATGGAATGTAATAACTAAAACAGTGTTAAAAATGAACTTTCTTCCTCTCGCAGTATAAAAAGGTTATCTCTTTCTGTATACAAGCCTCGCGCATTCTTTATATGTTTGTTAGACAGGAAAGGTAACTTAACCAGTGTTGCGCAGCATAATGAAATATATCAAATGTTAACTTTAAATCTATACTCTTAAAAGAAATGTTACAATAACATAAATCGTAGCTTGAAAAGGAAAGTTTGAAACAAAAACCATGGTATGATACGTTTTATTTAATTATGAAAATTAAACACTTGCTTATAAAATAAAAATGAATTACTCAGGAAAATTCTTTTTATTGCCTGTTTTAAATACTAAAAAACAAATGTGTCGAAAAGCAAGTGTAACGAATAATGAGATGACTTGCCTTATAACTACTAATTAATCTTTACCATTTCCAGAGAAATGTTTCCTTTCCTCATTTTATTTAGTAAAATAATGAGAAACTGGAAACAAAATTCTTCGTTTACAGTAAAGCTTAATTAGGAAAATTAGCAACGTTTTTCCTGTTTCTTGCTATTCTCTACTTCGTCTAAATGTTACCGACTAATTAACTTTCCCATGTTTTGTATCGGTTGGTTTTAAGTATCTTTATTCTTATTAAATATTAACATGAAACGGAAGTTCTATGCTAGTTAACTAAATTAAATTGAAGAGTATTCATAACGTATACAGCTAGCGTTCGTTCACCACGATTCTCCAGCTTTCGCGACAGAGAAATTCTTTGAAGATATTTACAAATAGTTTCTTCTGCCTTGCTTTGCATTCTATTTGATAATAAATATGCTTATTTATCTTCGTAATTAGTTCTTCATTTAAGAGTACATATTTCTAATTCTTTTCATTGTAGGTTGACTTACTTTTTTTAGTGAAAACTATCTACTTGTGTATTTGTTAATCATTGCATAATTTTAGTTCTGTGCTGTTTGTTCTAAAATTATGACTTCTGAGTGTTATGGATATTCTTCTAATTATCTAATTATAATCCAAGGCCACTGCGAATGCCAACGTTTTAATAAAACGTTTGTTTAATATTTTTGAAGATTTTTTTATTTGTGAATAAAAACAATATTACTGTAAGGGATCATAATGTTGCCACTGCTGTTTTTAATAAAATTCGCATCTAAAATACAATCGCAATTCGCTATAATGAGTAGGACACAATAGCGACCGAGTGGTAAAGTCGCTGAACACTGGTAGATTGGTTCAAAGCTCGAATTCCGCAAACGAGCTGGCTGCATGGGTTTTTTTCGTAGTTTCCCCCATGTGTAATGTGTATACGAGCCAGTTTCCCTTAGTCCTCCACGAAGGCATCCCTACCTTTAGGCAAATAGCCCTTGAGGCTTTGTCGTAATCTCATAAACCCAAACTAAAAACCACTATAACGAGTACAATGGAAAAGTGAAAATTTCCTCGTCACAGCTGTTACTCTTTGTAGCTATGCCGGGGGTCTCTAAATATTTTTGATAGTAGATCTCTCATGAATTTTTTAATCTTTCGTCGATCCCTTTTATTTTACTATTTATAATTATTACAAGACAACAAAATGCTAATGTGATTTTTAGATTTTGTGCTGTTTATTGTTTTTTGTTTTTTAGACTACATAAATCTAGAAAATTTATATTTAATAATGATGCTTTACAATAAAACTTGAAACAGGAGAAGTGAAAAATGTGTAGTTCCCTCGCCGGGGTTCGAAATCTGGACCTATCGAATGTGGTTGGTGACTCTTGGCAAGATTAGAAATACTAATTCAGAAGTCAAACAAAAAAAAATCAGCGTTATATTTTCAAAATTTTCACAGGACTAGTTTCGATGGTTTTACCGAACCACCATCCTCAGCTGCAAAACCGGGGAAAAAAAATATTAATATTTTTTTTGCGGTTTTGCAGCTGAGGAATATGGTTCGGTAAAACCATCGAAACTAGACCTGTGAAAATTTTGAAAATATAACGCTGATTTTTGTTGTTTGACTTCTGAATTAGTATTTATTCGGCGTGTTATTGTGTCTTAAAGATTAGAAATGCTTGGTTCAAAGTTAGTCTGTTTCAACCTTAAATCTCCAATATTACATTATATTATGTAACTTATTTCTCTCTCTCTCTTTCTTTTCTTTAAGAGATGGAATTAGCATGGCTAAAACCAGCTTCAACCACACACGAGTTTTGAAATGGAAGCAAAAATGGAAGTGCCACTTGAGAAAATTTGGGATTTAGTCCAAAAGTGACTAAGGGTCACATTTCTAAAAGCCATTTTACCTTCAGTAACAACTGACAATTCAATAAATTCTATTTGTGGGTTACTTCAGTCATAATTTCAAACGAAGTCGGGATAAGACTCACAGTTATAAAAGTAATTATCTTTAACTTTTTTAATTCGTTACTCACGTAATCATTTCAAACCATGTATAAATGTTGGATGCTCATTTAAGTAACAAGTAGAAGACGAATAATCCAGTTTCCGAGGTTTGCTATCATGCTGATACAATTCCTAGACAACAAAATGTTTATTTGCTCAATTGAAAAAAACAACAACAAACAGACTGGCAACATATTGCTTAAAGATACTGTAGATGAGATTCACCCCGTTTTATCGCGGGTACTACTGCAGAAACCGCTACTTTTTGCTAAGTATAAAAGTACTGTATCCTCGCTGAGATTCAAACCATGAATCTCCAGATGCTACTTCACGATATTTATGTGCGAAAACTAAACAATTATTTTTTTACAAATCCTATTAAGTTAACAGTTTATTTTAAAATAATTTGCTTTCACGACAACAATTTCATTGTAGTACTCGATGTACTTTCCAATTCGTTTGTATTCTTGACAGAAAACGCTTAATTTTGGGTTTTGTTAAGAGAAAACAAAAATTGCTGTTTCTATTTCCTATATTATTACATTATTTTCCACTTCAGTGAATGCCTTTTTATATTATTGCTTAATTAAATAGTCCAACTTTTGATTTCAATTCATTCTTTTAAAATTAGACGATATTAACAGTTAAGAGAAAGCTGGAAAACAAATAAAAATGTAAAGCTTTTCTATCTGAAAAACTAAACGCTTAGACAAGATTTGACGCAATTTGAAAATTAAAAGATTTACATTTTACAAATATTCTTTCATGAGAACAGAGCTACAAGAATTTCTTATTGACATTTCTACATAAAAGTTTTTCCCTACTAGAAAACTATTTTTCTACTTTTAAAGTTGTAGCTTTTATTTCTCATGAATTATTATATACTGACAAGAAATTTGTCCATTTTTGTCATAACAGTAACAGAAAACTTTCCAACTTTGAAATGAGCTTTGGAAGAAAGAATTTTCTACATTTCTTTCGCATTTCATTTATAAGCCTTGAAAATAAAAATGCAATCAAAATTTCAGGTAAATAAGAAATCTGCTGAATACTTGCATCGATATCGATTCCTGGTTGAGGAAAATATATTGATTGGTTATCATCCTTCGGCTCATAACGGTAGAACTCGAGATCGTCTTTGTACCATTTGACGACGTACAATTCTTCACTACCCAATTCGTAGCTACACACCAATGTCACGGATTCACCGAGCACAGCAGCTGATGGAACTCTTAATTCCGTGACCTTGACGCTTTTGCCTATGGCCAGACCTAGGAGGAAAAGAGCATAGTTAAGGCCTCTGATATTTCAAGGAAGAAGAAGTTGTTACTTATTCTGTAATTTTTTCTGTTTATTTCAGAACTTATGATTTATATCATGAAATTTCTGTATGAAGAATACAGTTAATTCAACTTATAGTTAAACACTGAATCTTAAAATTTAGCTAGATGGACATGCTTACCACTTATATCAGGAGAATACGCGTGGAGAAGGCTATAACCCCTTACATTCGCACTTTCATAAGATAATATTTACATAAAGATTGAATGGGGAGAGGAACGAGACCCGTGGACTATCCCCAAGTGCTGCCAAATTATCGCCAACCCCATTTTTAGCTCAAATGTTACTGTAGAAACATTTTTTTTTCGGAGAACAAAATAGAAAAATTTAGCTGTGTTCTAGCCAAGATTCAACAATGAGTCTCACACTGCTACCTGGACGTATTAACAGCTTATGCAGCCACAGCACGCACGGCGGAATATGATAAATCCTTATAACTTTGCATATGTAGAGCAAACTTGGTAAGTAAGGTAAATTATAGGCTATGTAATAAAAGAATCTTGCAAATATTAAGCAAAACTAAATATGTAAAAATACGAATAAAAGTTACATATAAAGTAAACGTGACCAGCCGTATTTCTATCAAAAAAGAAAAAACTTGGAAACTTATTAAGATTTTAAACATTTCAGCGCTCAATTTTATTAATTAAATAGTTCTTTCCTAAAAATTATATCGTATAACGTATTATACTAATTAAGAAATTTAAAGTGAAAACCATTAATCTTCAGAGTGTGAGTATTGGAAATTCTAAAGATATGCTCATTTTAAAATTATTTTGCGATATTGCTCTTGAACTGAATTTTGTGGTTTAAGTGAGAAGAACATGATGTTTAATAAATAAAGGTAACACACAAAACGTTAAAAAAACGCTCCTTTGGACGTAATTAAAAATCTGAAATTTTTCAGATTTTCTGTTTTTTTAGTTTTCTGCAGTTTAATTTCAGATTTATATTTCCATCGTAGATATTCGTTTTTGCCCAAAGACCTTTTACTTTATATGACGAAAAATAAATTAATGGATAAGATTGGCAATAACAAGCATATTCGCATATTTATCGAGTGATGATATTTTCAATAATGAACTCTTTTATTAGTGAGGGTGTTAGCGGATTTCTGAGTTAATTGTTTCGCTTTTATAAGCTGTATTGCCCATTATAAAGGGAAAGTCGAATATGTTTTTTATCTATATTCTATACAAGTTTGGTATATTCATGAAACACTTTAAAATTTTTATTTTTTTCTAAAAGATTATTTTTTCTTAATGTCAATTTTTTTAATTTCCGAAATAAGATTATCCTTTGGTTAGGAGTAATAATTACATAAGAATGAGAAGAAAGCAGTTTTTTTATTGGAGTAAACAATCCCGTATCATAGCTGTCAACGATAATTCTAAAAATATTATATTGGAATAACTTTCAAAATAGCTTGAAATTTTTCATTTCATAGTAATTACATTTATCCAGTATAATTTCTTTTGAGCTCATATTTATTAATAATTTCGAGATTTGTTAATGATATTCATAAATAATTGCCTAGAAAATATAAGTTCTCTAATTAGAACTCTGAAAGAAAAAAATTCAGCTCTAATACTATTAATAGAATTTCATTCATATAGTAAAATGCATAAGAAATATTCAATTTTACTTATTTATTGATTGATTTAATGTAAACTGCTGAGTTTTATTCTCCTCAGCTTCAAACGCAAACTCGTTTATACTATTAAATAAAATTTTTTGCCTCTTAATTTGACAATTTGAATTACCTTTATAAAAATAAATCTTTGCACAAAATTCTAGTAATGAAATATTGTACATAAAATAAAAAATGTGATGGTATTAAGACAAAATCGAAATCAGTATTACAGTTCAAATATTGCTTATACCAATATTATGGTGCAGTGACTGTTTTTATAATTAATAGTTCGATTGATTGATTTATAACTATATGGAAAGTTTAAAGTGCTGAAATGAACAGATTTGAACTCATTTCGAGTATTCTGTATAATATGTATTCGAGTATTTCGCCAAACGTAGACACGATCAAAGAGCCTTAGTTACAGTGTAATCAAATGCCACTCAAAGTCAATTCGCTAGCTGACTGAACAAACGTATGCTGACATAATAATGGAAACCCACTAAGTTAGTTAAGAGCCAGTAATCAATACATATTGAGACAGGATCGATTACCTTACATAATTCTGCCAAGTATTTGGAATCTAGTATTCATATTACGCAGGAAAAATCTAAAATCCGGGATGCCAAAGCATTTCACTATATGAATCTGAACTTTTCGGGAACCATAAATGTTATAAGCTTTAAAGAACAAAAACTGTAAATTCAATTTTCGCAACATCTTGTATGAGCACATGGCATGTATTAATTTTATCAGAAAGTTACCCAAAGTTATTACATGTGGGATTAATCAATTTAAATTGAGATGCTTACGAAATTATTTGCTATATTTCATGTATTTAAGGTTTTATTCCTATCTGACATGATATAATATTATATATTTTTGATAACCTGTAGAAATGGGTATTAATAAGCATAGCGAAAACAACTCAGTAATATGATCTGCTGGCAGGATGAGGAAAAAATATCTCATATTTAGAGAATAATTACGTAAATATGAGACATGTAATTCTTAAGAATGAGATACTATTTAGAGAATAATTACGTAAATATAAGACATGTAATTCTTAAGAATGAGATACTACGATTATGTATTTTATCGCATTATAGCACTCATGAATTAAAATGTAACCTGATGACGAAGAATTAAAAAATGTGCTTTAGGTATAGTGTAATTCCTAGTATCTGGAAACGGAGTTTATTATTTTAATTTCGCAATACAAGTAGGATTCCCTCTTAACCGGCTTAAATGGGATGAAATACCAGTTAAAACAGAGATTGAAAAAATTATTTAGTTGACGGAAATGCACTTTTGTATAGTTTTGTAGGTAAGAATTCATTAAATATGTCAATTTATTGCAAACGATTTACATATCATTAGTAGGAATGTTGAAAAAATTCATTCATTGTTTTCTGCTCAGGCTGGAAATTTGGCGATTCGCTGTATGCTTTCGCCTTTTTTACTTCCTTGTACGAAGTAAAAAGGAAGTATTGTAATCGCGAAAAGTTTCAGGCAGCATATTTCAACGAAAATATCCCATTTTGACCTATTTCAAATGCAATTTAACGATGTATTTCCGTGATATCTGTATGTAAGGACAGAATAAAAAAACTCTCTTCCTCCAAAAAAATTATAAAACTGCTTTAAAATGAATTCTGAAGAGAATTTTTCGTGGCGTCTGTACGAACGTATGTACGTACGTGCGTACGTATCTCGCATAACTCAAAAACGAGTAGCCTCAGAACGTTGAAATTTTGTATATAGGACTGCTATAACATGTAGATGTGCACCTTGTATTTTGGTTGCAATCGGCCGCACCAAACGTATATAAATATATTTATATATATATCACTCTGTTACCCGGCTCAGTGATCTCAGTTTCTTTACTCTTATATGTTTGTAAATTATACATATTTTCCTTTAAAAATGATTGAATTATGTTGTTCTTATCTTCCGGTTAAGGTTTTTATGCCTTTAGTAAATTTGTATGCAATTTTTTAGAATTATCAACAATTTTAAAATTGTTTAAGTGCCGCTAAGCCTAATAATGTTTTTGATGGCGGCATTTCTTGTTTACATTTGAAACAGCAGGATAGCGGATTTGTTACCAATCTAGAGAAACTTAGCTTCGCAACAACAAAGATAACGCCTTCATTTATTATTTAAATCATGCTTAATCCTTTCTGGAATTTTTTCGAGGAAATAAGCGTTTAAGATTTACTTCAAAATTTTTAATACAGATATTTTGAGTTTTTATGTATTTTTTGCCTTGTCGCGAAGTGAGAACTGAATTAATTGAATGAGAAATACTCAATCGTCTGTAAAAAAAAAAAGGTTTCTTTTTTGTTTGTTTTTGTTTGCTTAATTTTCTTTTATACATCGTTTTTGCTTAATTTCTTTTATACATCGTTATTATAGTATTTGAATAGAACATATGGCAACGATTAGATAATTCTTTAAATGATATAAATTTTGTGCATTCTGAGTTATAATATGAACGAAATATAATATTGTTAAGTAAACCTAGCGCCAGAGTGTCGTTATGGTAAACAAAGTGAATTTCAAAGGATGCATTTATTCTATTGTAGTTTATGCGCTGTCGGCGAAGTAGGTTTAATTTTAAATGAAATGGAAGAAAAAATGCGTATAATTTAATATTCCGTACAAGTAAGTCATGTGGTGTACACATCAAGTTTTTAATACCATCACAGCGGAGGAATGCCAGTTGTCCCAAATAGCACAAAGTCATTTCCAATGCTTTTGCTCCATCTGTATCTGATATAATGGAGGTCGCATATTATTGAACTGCATTTTAGTTAATACATTCCCCACCTATATTCCGGAACCTTTTCAGTTTTGAATAAAGGAGAGTGCGATACCGTTAATACACACTTTTTTAAAAATTCGTAACTATGTATTTTAATACGCATTAAAATACATAATTACGAAATTTTCAATTTGTTTGCTTATATTTTTATTTTTGTATTCTGTTTCATTAACTACAGCCAGTAAAAGGGGAGATCCGATTAAGCGGAAGCCGGTTGAAAGGGAATCTATTGTACTTTGAAGTAGAATTCTTCAGATAATTCTTAAATGAAGGAAGGGAATGAATTCTTCATTCCCTTGAAGAAATTATAAGAGTGCAAAAGACGTTTTTAGCTGATATTTGAGTCACTGTTTGATTTTACTATCAACCAGTTGCTTTTTAATTTAGCTGTATTTGCATTTCCTTTTCTTAAATTATAAACTGTAGTCTTTCAGGATGAAAACCGTTTATTCATTTCTTTTTGTCTTTAC